TGAAATTAAGAGAATCCTCTCAATTTTTTTTTTCCGTGCATTTTCTCCAGTCCCATTTTCTCATTTGTTGAAAGAAAGAAGAAGGAAAAACTTTATATTAAATTTTTAAATTTATTTTAGATTTTTAATTGAGTTTTTAAATTTTTATTAAAATAAATAAATTTATAAATTTAATAATTTAAGTAATTTAATTATTTTTTAGTGGACTTAATATTTATTTGTGTTTTATTTATATAGACAAATTAAATACCAACTACACAAATAATAATATATCAATACCTTATTTATATGAATAATACACAAACAAATGTTAAGTTACTACAAATAAAATGAGTTAAATTTCTAAAATTATCAAATTTCAATACTTATTCATTTTAATAAAAATTTCAAATTTTAATTAAAAATTTAAGATAAATTTCCAAATTTAACATAAAATTTAAATAATTAAAAAAAAACCCAAACAAAGCATTCTTTTGCAAGTTTTTTATTATATGAATGTATTGTGTAGAACGACCAAGACAAGCCCTTCAAATTTGAGGTTATTTCCTATCCAATGATAATTTTCTAATTCTGCAATTTCAGTACAAACTCTTTTCATTATAATTGAACAACTTTACAGGTGAATCTATTCTCATCTATTCCACTTCAAAACTACAATTCATCATCAACAACCTTTCATTTCATTTTTTACATCACTGTTTCCGCTCGCTATAGCGTTCAAAAAAGAGAAAAGAAGGAAGTACTCTGTTTCCCGCGTTGTTCCTCTCTAGAAAATCTATGAAAACTGGATTTCCGTCCTCAGTGAAGTTTCTCAAAAGCAGAATCAGTAGAAAATCTTGATAACATAGAAGAATCTGTGTAAAAAAGATGAAAAAAAAAAAGAAGAAATTAGATTCAATTATCAATAATTAAACAGAGTTTAGGAATTTAAGATTCATGGGTAAGAAATGGATCAAGTGAACTTTACCGGTGGAAGATGCATTGCTTAATTTCTCCAATGAAGAATCACTTGACATTGATGAAGATCCTGAAATCGAAACAAAAAACGAAAAATTATCTAAAGATTAAATCAGGGTTAATAAGATTTAGTCTTAAAATTTAGGATTTTGAAGTGATTTAGTACCTCTTGATGAGTTGAAGGATGTCTTGCAATGGAGAATGGCGCTCTGGATCCCGTCATGCTGCAGCAGAAGCGAGTCGTCTCTCCGGCTCATCTGAGACGCCGTAGCCGAGGCTGATTTGCTCTTACCCAAGTGCTTGCACACACCCCGGATCCCTGCTGTCTTGCACCTCTGTTTCTCTTTTGTAGAATACATCGTTGCGGGTGAAGACGCCGGAGATGGGATTGATACGTCACCGGAGGATTTCGATTTCTCTGTTTGCTTTTTCGACGCTTTCAATCTATTCAAGTATTTGTGTATCACGTCTTTGGAGAATCGCTTCGAGGAATCGTCTCTGAATAACTCCTCTGTTTTCGTCTTCCACGAAATGCTTTCCGTTTTTCTCAGACTGTTTCCCCTCATGAAGATTGGAAGCTTCGGACCTCCTAGCTTCTCATGCTTTGGAGTCTCCTTAGAAACGCCGGCGAACTTCATCCTCTCCGATTTCTCTGCTGTCGCCGTTGATTTCGTCAACTTCTTCGAAGCAAAAACTCGAAACTTGGGTGCAGATTTCAACAGAGCAATAGGAGAGCTGGATTCAATGGGGATGATTTTTCTTCTGGAGAAATTATCCGTAGGAGACAGGGACAGAGTCGGCCGGAGAACGTTGATCAGCTCGATCCTCGCCGGTTTCTCGTCACCGGAAGCAAATCCAGCATTATCCACGACGATTTTCTCTTCTGGGTGGTCACGCAAAGGAAGCTTCAAATCAAAGAAAGAATCTTCTCCTTCCTCAAATTCCATAACAGGATTTGGAATCTCTTTCTGGGTATTGTTAGTGGGTCTCCAGAACTTGAAAAGGTTGAGAGCTTCCATAGAGTGTTTGTGGAGAGAGAAAATGAGAGAATCCGTGAGAAAAGGGTGTTGAATTAGGGTTCTGTTTGATGGGCTTTATAATGGAAGAAAGGGGTTTAAAAGAAAATTTTGCATTTCGTTTTATGGGTCTGAAAATGGCGTTTCAGCGAAAGCAAGGAGAAGGGGACAAAGAAAGAGAAAGGAAAAGATGTAATTCCTTTTTCTGTTGATACAAATTTTTATTTTTTTAATTATTTTGTGAATTTTCAAATTTTCAATCTTGAGTGCAAAAAACAGTTTGTGACATATTAACACAAATAAACAATTTCAGTGATTTAATAGCTTAGACTACTGCAAATTTATTGTGGCTTATTAGAAAAAATACATTTTTGTTAATTTTTTTTTTTGCCTTCTTGTTGAGTATGGTTATTATCACATAAATTTTATTTTATGTGGGTAACTATAGTTTGCTAATTTTAGTAATTTATAGTTTTTTTTTTCCTTTAAATAACTAATTATGTTGTTTAGAAACATCATTGTAGAAATTAATTTTAAATT